CCCGTATACCTGGGACCTGCAGAAAATACTAGCAGAGTTAAAACTTTGGGGGAACGCTATTAAATGTTCCGTTAAACGGCAACATAAGTATCAGACTCTTCGAGTCAAAATAGCACTTTCCTCATTTGCCCTTCCCCAGTTTAACAAATATTGGACGACAGACCTGGGAGATATACCCGTTAGATGGTTCCCTGCAAGTTGGACTTTACAAGAAAGAAAGCAACGTGAAAAGTTCCAAGCCGTTATTCATGACATTCTGGAGGATATGACGATGGCTACCTTGTGGATGGACCGTAAACCATGTGAATTTTTAATGAAGTGCGGTGCTAGCTCATTTAAAGTAATTCAAACAAGTAAAGGAAGGAGGAAACTTGTGGCCTATTTCGAGGATTGGGAGACCACACTAAGGGCCTTAGATACGCCACAGTTTTTCGTACCTGATGGTAAGGAGTTGAAATGGTGTCGACACTCCATTCCTACCTTGAAGAAAGCACAAAACAAACCGAAGGCTAAAAATACACCAAATCCGAAAAAATCAGGTAAGTCTGATAAGAATTTGGATAGTAAACAGCCTAAGAAGAAGGATAAACCTACATCCTTGAAGATAGTCCCAAAAAATAATAACCAGGAGGAGAAAAACCTGAAGAATCAGAAGAAGGCAAAGAATACCTCGAAGATTAAGGGTGGTAATAAAGATAACAAGGCGGTTTTAGCAGAAATTTTAACTTTATTACAGAGACTAGTTTAGCCTATGCTTTTATTAGCGGTTTTACGAATTTCAGAATTGTATCATTATTTTTTAGGATAGAATAGGTTTATGTGTAGTGCCACAATTTCTTGGAAAGGGGACTTGTCCTCTCCACTTTTTTTTTTTATTATTCCCAGTGTGTTTGCCTGGACCTTTATCGGACGGGGTAGTGGTACAGGTCTTTTTTTTTAAGAAGTTAGGATCGGGTGCCAGCTCCTCTGGTCTTCGATGGTGGGTTCTAAGTAGATTAGTAACTCTCGATAGATTGTTCATATCTTTTTGTATACCTCGCCAACTTCACATAAAATAAATAAATAAATAAATAAATAAAGTAAAAATCACTTAAACGAAAAAAAAATCCGATATAATAATATTTTCGCAATATTATTGTACGAGTAATTCACAATTTTATGTAATAATAAACGAATTATAACTTATGTATTACATGTATAATAGAATTGCCTTTATTATAAAGAAAATTATGCTTGAATTACATAAAAAATCGCAAAAAAAAATTCTTTTCCATCCATCCTTTTCTACTTTCCACCACCTATGAATAAGAAACAGTTTATATAATCTTTTCTCATTACATATCAATTGTTTATAGTATTATAAACCTAATATAACTTTCAGTTATAAAATTCTAGTAAGAATATGAATATTCTTTTATTCAGTAATTGAACAATAAAAAATAATATACCTAATATCATCTAGCGTTTCTCGATGGACACCTTTTTTGGTAATGGCCGAATTTACCACATGATAAGCATCGGCGCTGTTGTTTTACTGGTTGAGTATTACTTTCATCTGAAATTTCTTGCATCAGAATTCTTTTTCTTGATACCTCCATCGCACTTTTTAGTCTCTTTTTTGATGGAGTTCCTCTAATTTTAGTCACACGAGGATCAGTTATTTGTTCAATTAAATCTTTTTGTAATGGAATTATGCTGCCATCTTCTTGACTAGATTCATTAATTCCTATTATATCATGATTTTCTTTAATATCATCACCATCACCTATATTTTTTTCTCGCTTTGATTCAATAAAATCTTTTAATAATGTGATTAATTCATGATCACTATTAGTTTCTAATGCAACATTAATAGCAGTTTTCGCTGTAGAAAATGCAATTCCAAACTTATTTTGTTGATGAGTGTTTTGGTGAACAACTTCACTACGATCTGATCCTTGAATATGATGTAAACTTTGGAATGTACATGTAATTTGAAATGAAGTTATATCAGTTGATGTTTCTATTGCTGTAAGAATCAGTGAGTTCTTGAGATTAATGTCCAAATTGGATAAAATGTTATCTTTATACCATCTAATGGGTATAATACTAATATGGAACTTCGCTAAATGTGAATACAGCATCACTCTCCAGAATGGTGGCAAATTATACCTTTTGTGATTGTTTCTAAACAAGTACAAAGATGTGTTCCATCATCTAAAAGTATCACTAAATTGTCCTTACGTGAAAGGCCTCCTATACGTCATATTCTCCACATTTCAATAATATTTGAAGTTTCAATACCATTTAAAAGTTATTTGTGGTTCATCAATAATATCTTCAATAAAATTATCATTAGCAGTTTCGGCATCTACTAAATTCTATAAGATTTATGCAAGTAAGATATTTCTTTATCAATAAATATTACTTAATCTTAATAAAATATTACTTACTTCATTCAAAGATGATACCAAATGACCTTCGTAAGTAAATGATTGAGAGATTTGAAACTTTTGCCAGACAATACAAGAGGCGTTAAAAATTAATTAAGAACTGCATCAATATTGGAAAAAAATTGAGATGATAAATGCGGAAGTCCAACTGTTGTTTGGTAAGCCTTAAGATTAGCTAATTCATGTCTTTTATCGATAACTTTTTCAATGTCACAAAGACTACTTGCACTATTTAATGCTTTTTTAATAATAGCGTTAAATGATTCAACACTTGAGTACTTTGAATCCCCGCGTTAAATTGAAATGGTGTATAAGCTTTAGCCCAACTATTTCAATTAGGATATAGTACTCTGGTCATATACGGTTGACTTTCTGGAAATTCATTCATCATAGACCCCATTGTTGTTCAAATAGTTCTATGCTTAATGTATTTCTGCATAAATAAAAGGCTTTACAAAACGAATGAAATTTTGTACCTAATTTTGTTTTGAGATGTTTAGTAATATTTTGCCAGATGTGGAAAAGACAATAAAAGTGTGGAGTTGTTGGAAAAACATGAGCAGCCGCATTAATTAATCCTAGTTCTGAATCTGTCCAAAATGCCTTTGGTGTAATATTATTAGTTGCTTTCATAAGGTATTGTAAAATCCAAATATACGTAGACGCCATTTCATCTTCAACAAGAGCATTTGCTACATTGCAAAATTTTCCATAATTGTCCTTGATCATAAATACACTTAAGTACATATTGTACTTATTCATTTTACAAGTATTGTCATTTAGTACTACATTGTGAAACTGTTGATATAATTCATGTTGTGATGGAGACATCCAAAAAATTCCAGATAAATGATGCTCATTGCCTGAATGTCAAACAAATATTTTCCAATGTGGATCTTCTATTATCTTTTCAAGAAAAATATTGAGAAATGAAGTAGTATCTGAGTTTTCTTCTTCATTATTTTTACGTAAACGATATATTGAATTATAAACATTCTGTTTATGAAACACATGCTGCGGATATTTTTTTTTTAAAATTTCCAGTTGTACAACAGGCGCTACTTTGCATTCTGTGAAAAACTTTAAATCTTGCATCATTTCATTATTGAATTGTCGATACCTTACATTAAGATGTGGTATGTCAGTTGGAATTAATTCGTAATTATGTATATCTTCTAATGTTGTGCATTTCACCTGATTTTCTAATTTTGTAATGTAAAATTACAATGCCAATGGCAATTGAACTTGTTAGAACCTCATTCCCGTTGTAATTCTTGATTAATATTCTTACAAGGTTTGTAAGTACCACCAAAAGAGCAACGGTATGACTTGCATATAGTAATAGAAGGGTTATTTGGATTCTTGTCATTTCTACAAATCTGATAACCAAAACCTCTTTCTAAACAGTAATTATACATAAACGTATCAACAGACATCCAATCATCAAAACTATCTTTTTTACGAAGATTATATTGATATATATTAAAATTATCAACTGAACTTTGGAAGAATAATTCTATAGGTGGTTTATTAAAAAAATTATCAGAAAACTTCCAACACAATATTTTCGTTAGTTTCTACAAAAAAAGTTATTAGAAGACTTAGGAGGTGTAATGATATTTTCTAATACAGTATTTTCATTGATTTCTATATAAAAATTTTCAGGTGATTCTGGAGGTGTAATGATATCTTCTAATACTGTGTTTTCATTGTTTTCTTTAAAAAAGTTCTCAGGGAAAATAGCGTCTTCAGAAAAATTTAGAAAGAAATCGACACCGCATTAACTATCACGACTTTATTTTATATTCATAATGCATAAAATTTTTTATAATATGCATAGGTGTGACAAATACCATTTAGTAACACATTCCACATGTTTATACAAATTCAAGGTTATACAATGTAACGGTAAAAATCACCAGTGGTGAAATTAAAATTAAAATTAATAAAAATCACCAGTGATATTAAAAATTCAAATTTAAATTTATATAAATTTGTGGTTAAAATCACCGGCTGGTGAAACTAAATTTAAAAATTATTAAATTCACCAGTGGTGATTAAAATTCGAATTTAACCATTGGTGAAATTTAAATAATTCCATAATACAAATATTTACATTTTTATAAATTTAAAATTATTTTTTTTTATACTTATACTAGCCATCAAAATTTTTTATATGGCGGTGTTGATTATTACCTCTCCTCCCCTCTAAATTTTGGCCAAGATGTTACATTAAACACATTATCCAATTGGTCCGGCCTAACTAAAAAAAAATATTAGTATTCTACAAATATGAAGTTCCACTATAGTGTCACATTCGCCCTGACTAATGCTGAGCAATCATCCCATCAGTTCTCTAACTTTCTTAATAATGACCTGATTTTTGCCAACAAAGTAAGTTTTCCAGTTTCATTACCATCCAAACCTTTCTTAATTTTTCCAAAAGTTTTAAAAGAATTCTGCTTTCCAGAAGGTTTGCTTTCCTTATTCTTGTTATTTGTAGTATTTGGTTCAACCTTGTTAGCCAAGTCTTAGTTCTGCTTCTGATTTCAGCCACTTCTTGGTGACCGATTACAATCTTTAAAGAATTGAGAAGAAAGTATCTAGTTCAAACATCTTCATATTCTTCCAAGTTCAACTTGAAATTTATGATTTTATCCAAATCAGCCCAATTTTCGTAATACATGATGAGCTTGCAGGTACTCTTTTGAAGATTCCAGTTAGCAGGATATTAACAAATAAGAAGTCCTCCTAAAGGAGCAGTCCAGACTTCTTGATTCCATAGGTTCATAGCCCACTTGTTGAAGTCAATTGAATGGTGACTTATTTATTTATTTATTTATTTATTTATTTTCTGTTAAGGTCGGCAAGACTATCATTGGAACTATATCATGCCTAAACAATCCAGCTCTTTTTTAGTTCACCATCCAACAGAGCATATAAATGCGCCACTGGACTTAATCCTAATTTGAATACAAACAAATAAATGTATTCGCCAAGGTAACACTAGGTACATGTCAATACTAAGTGCTACATATGTAAAAAAAAAAAATTATTCTACCTAATAAAATAATACAAATTAGAAAGTCTAACTAAAAACTAAACTAATTTACACAATAAAGACAAAATCTCTGCTAAAACCTCCTTGTTATCCTTATTACGTCCTTTGTTCTTTGAGGAATTCTTTGCCTTCTTCTGAACACCAGATTCTTCAACTGGTTATTATTTTGTTAGGTTAACTTTGAGAACAGAACTTTATCCTTCTTCTTGGGCTCATTACTATCCAAAACTTTACCTGTTTTACCAGACTTGTTCTTGTTCAGAGTATTTTTAGCCTTTGGTTTAGATTGTGCTTTCTTCAAGTGAGGAATGGAGTGTCAACACCATTTCAACTCCTTACCTTCAGGTACGAAAAACTGTGGCGTATCTAAGGCCTTAAGTGTGGTTTCCCAATTCTCAAAATAGGCCACAAGTTTCCTCCTTCCTTTACTTGTCTGAATAATTTAAACAAGTTAGCACCACACTTTGTTAAAAATTCTGGTTTATGGTCAATCCACAAGGTAGCTGTCATCATATCCTTTGGAATGTCATGAATAGCGGCTTGGAACTTTTCATGTTGTTTTCTTTCTCGTAAAGTCCAACTTGTGGGAAACCATCCTACAAGTATACCTGGCGTTTAACTGAACACTTGATAGTATTTTATTTATTTTATTTTATGTGAAGCAGGCAGGGGATATAACAAAGGGCATGATTCCGAAGTAATACAACCCAAATAGATCCTACCATCTATTTCCAGAGGAGCTGGAAGCCAACCCTAACTACTTGAAAATAAAAGACCTGTACCACTACCACATCCGATAAAGGTCCAGGCAAACACACTGGGTAAAAAAAAGGAGGGGAAAGAAAGTGGAGAGGACAAGTCCTCTTTTCAAGAAATTGTGGTGCAAACACATAAATCTATTCTATCCTAAAAAATAATACAATTCTGAAAGTCGTAAAACCGCTAATAAAAGCGTAGGCTAAACTAGTTTCTGTAATAAAGTTAAAATCTCTGCTAAAACCACCTTGTTATCTTTATTACCACCCTTAATCTTCGAGGTATTCTTTGCCTTCTTCTGATTCTGTCTCTTATACACATCTAGATGTGTATAAGAGACAGATAGAAGGGTTTTTCTATTTTTTTTTTGTAACATTTTTAACGTTACTTTTTTCATTTTCTTGTAG